GCCACACAATACACAAATGTTAATACTGGAAAGAAATATGATTCAGAATCATGTATGGTTCATCATATACGCATAATCATGCAACTAAAAACACTGAGTAGATTACAAAAATATCATAAAAGATTTTCAAACAATTGTTTAATTGACTCTAACAGTCAAACCATTGAGCTTAAAAATTTTGTGGCAATAATGGTAAAATCATTTATTTCCTCTAAGATCTGGCGCATAATCATATCTATAAACCTAAACAACAAAACGACTCATTCTGGATATTTAATATTATTGAATGAATAATGATTTGTCAACAAAATGATGACATTTCTCTTTATAGTTCTCTGCTCCTTGTATGACTTTTCAGAAATAAAAACATAAAGTTACATTAAAACGTCCAATTTACTTCTCAGTGTTTTTATTAGAGAACCATAATGATCAGAGAATAATTCCGAAAGCAAGAAAAGTTAAAATAAAAATGTGTTCTTGACCAATGTTCTATAGCACTTAAACTCCAATCACAGAAATAATCTGGCTCTGTAGTTTATTCAGGCATCAGTTCAAATAGGACAAATTTTAAATAATTCCAGAGGAAAGGGATAAAAATACACTGAGGATTAGAGCCATGCATTTCAATATGGAAAGGAGACCAGATACAGGTAATAATATCCTTACATTCCTAATGGAGAGAAGAGCACAAGAGAAATAAGACTTCTATTTGTTCATATTATGAATATGGGAAAGCTTACATGATGTGAAATATCTCATGCAAACATTTTACACACATACTTTTATGTACTCACACCCTTACAGTAAAGGCAGTTAATTACTCCTCTTCTTCGTAAGTAGAACAGTATTTCTGGAAAAAATCCTCAATCGGGGAACATACCTTAATACTAAATATCTTTCGGTTTTACTTTGAGTAAGAAGGATGAAAGAGATGCCTAGACAAAATCCTTCAGATGTCAACGTAATTGGATCAGGCTACAAATGCAACACATCAGGGACTAGGCAGTTAACTTGGCAATTAAGTAAAGATGAATTTACTGACAGATGCAACTCATCTGGGGGTATAATTACAGACAGTGGAAAAGGTCACTCGGGAGCTAGATTGGTCTTCTATGTCCATAGAAATGATTTCAAGGTAAAAATTCCTTGTCGATATCAGCACTGATCATGCCATCTACCACAACTCCAGTTCAACAGTTTTGTCAAGAATTATGTTCCCTGTATTTGAAAACATAGTCTACAGTTTTTGCAATCTTAAATACAAGGATTATTTTTAAATCATTCTGTTTTTAAAACAGACAAAAAGCCTGGAGGACAATTTTTTTTTTAATTGTGAACTTTATCCTAAGAGTTCCTTTTGAATGTAAGTCCTCCTTTAGATCTACGGTATCAATGCATTTGACATCCTTGGGCTGGATCAACACAGTTCCTTCTGGAAATCGAATACTTTCCCTTGATGTGTCTTTTTGAAAGACAGATTATGTCTTTTGGCTGATTGAGCATAATAATTACACATTAAAATTTGCCATTCTTATCCTAGTAGAAAATATATTTCATTCTTCTTTTTCATATTTTGTAATTTCTACTTGAGAATTGTAGAGGATTTTATTTAATACCGTCCGCATTCACAGTTGGTTTACATGACCAACGTTTCACGCGTGTTGGAAACAGAAGGACTATCTGTACAGGAATATTTTCCAAAGCATTAGAAAGAGGAAATACTGAGATTGAAGATCCTTTTAAGAAAAGATAAAATTTGAGAGGCATTTGCCCCCCTAAGGGATTGCATACTTTCTATTTCCAAAGTATTCCTGAGGACATTTGTTTTTTAGACTCTGACAATTGAGGCTTTTTATACTAAAATTACTACATTCTGGACAACTTTAAAGATACTATGAAATATAGTTGTAAGAAAAAATAATGCCAATGATCCTGTTTTGTTTTTTACCAGAGATCTTGGAAAAATGAAGATTGCTGTCCTATGTTCAAGGGATAAAATATTTTATGATTAACCAGCATTACGTCAGTGTATTTTCAAGTTTAAAAGAAGCATAGGATTATGGAATCCCAGAATTATAATACATTATCATAAGATACCTTGCCACCTATCAATCCTTACTAGAAAACCAATAATATTTAATTATTGAAAAGCAAATATTCCTTCTGATTATCAATTGAATGGATTCCAAGGATTCGTTCCACCATTAAAAATCTCTTTCATAGAGGTAATATACATCCTTCACACTAAAGACTTAGGTTTTCTTATTCCAGTCTTAATAATGATATCTTTAGCTGGTACCTCTTGTTTGTTACATTTTCTTTCCTTGGTACCTTCTCTTCCTTAGGCTAAATAAATAAAAGTATCATCTTTCTAAATAGGTCTTTTCTTAATTATTTAATAACTTTTCGTGTTCTCAAAAATTCTTCAAATTCCTCTTATTGAAGCAGAATTGGATGCATGAGAGGGATCTGATGAATCACAAGTTGACTGGAAAGATTAATCCAAGAGTCCTGTATACCCCTGTGCACTCAGGCCAAAGGCAATTTATTGCTCCTTTAAACTTAATTTTGTTTTTTGGCTAAGAAAAATCTTCAGTAGGGAAGCATCTCTGCCTAATGACTTCTTTTCAGTATAGTACTTGTGCTTACTTCTAGAAAACTACTAGTTACTCTGCTAATCACTCTTCTGGTTACCTTTCGTCTTTGACGACTGTGTTTCCAATAATTAGCCAATATTTTTACTGTATTTCTGTAGTTGGTTTTCATTTGCCAAGCCTGTCTTCAATCAGTCTCATTGAAGTTGTTCTTTCTGATTTTCACTGATTCTTCAATTTCTTTTTGAATTCTGATTTTTTTTTTACAGGTACTAAAAAGTTTTATCAATGCTACACAGATTTATTTTTTAAATGTCTATAAATAAATACAGATATGGCTCAGTTTAAACTATACTAAATGATGCCACAGTGTAAATACATGGAATTCTCTCTTACTGCTTAGGGACTATTATCTAATTTTGTGCTGAAAATTAAAACTTTATTTCCACATTTCTATATCTTCTTGGCAACGTCTGCTAAAATTAACAATTTTGTAGAATACTTCAAAACAAGCATTTCCCATTCTATTAAGATAAAGAACTGAAATAAAACCAGCATATAATCGACTTAATGATAAACATGTATTGAAAGAAATGAATGTTTTGTCTATAACTTGGCTTTTCACCAGGTCATAACTACAGAGCAAAGGAACACGAAAGCAATACTGCGCTCTCAACGGGCAGTACTGCCCTCTAGTTCCACACAGGCAATACTTACTGCTGAATTCCCTGTACCACCAACAGAGTCGATGAGGCATTAGAGGAAGATGTTCTGAGGTACTTTTTAAAAAGGCATATTTTCCCTCAGGCACAAACAGTTTTTATTAAAAGTCAACTTAGCAGCTGTGCCACTTCTCAGGTCTGAAAACATAATGCTTGAAAAATAAATAAAAAGGAAAAAAAAGAAAAGACAAAATAGGAGGGGGGATGGGATAATTCTCTTTAACTGAACTCCAACGAAATCCACACCGTCTCACTAATACTGGTACCAGGCAGATACATTAACAAAATGAAGAAAATGATTAAGAACAGCAAGGCAATGCAGGTAGGAACGAGCAGAACATTAGGCTGCCATGATCAGGACTTTTTGAAGATTCATTTTGTTTCTTGTTTCTGTTACTTTAACCTGAATCTTTACTTTGGTGAAGATTTCCAGTTACTCCAAGTTGCATAATAAATGACACTGTTGAAAATAGCACTCATATAAGGAACTCAAAACCTCTTGGTTGCTTTGGTAATAGTGACCACTACTTAACAGGTATACAACTGAGAGAGCTCCTGCACTGTGCTTTATGGTTTACCGACTGGCTGCCATCTTTGATCGACCATCCGTGAGTGTGCTACCTACCCCCACCCCTTAAGCTGAGATCTCTACAACAGGATCTCGACTGTTAGAGCCCTGCAATGTTAACTATCTTTTGTGTTAACAGCGAGGACTGTTTTTGTTTTGAAGAGAAGTTACAGATATAGTTACATGAAAAGATCAAACCGTTATGGTTTTAAACAAGTTAAGGCTACCTGACTAGACAAGGAATCAGGGCTAGGAGCAATTGTGTGGGCAGCACTTGATAGTTAGAGGAGCCCAGAAGGGTTAGACCTTTCAGCTCAATTAGCTGTTTTCCTTGTTTGTCAGATTATGTGCAAAAGAAATTTTGCTATGAAAATCCACTGCCTTAAATCAAGTCATAAAAGTTACCCAGCAGAATCTGTAAATGAAGTAGGAACATGTATTATCTCAATATAATATAATGATTGTAGGCACCTGAGTGTTTGTCAAAAGTAGACAATGAGCTAAGGTTTATTATCTATTGTTTTTTGGCAAGGAAGTTTCATTATGAGAAAAACTAACAACAAAACACACACTTTTAATCAAAATTTGAACACTTTCTGGGTAAATTAATTAACCAAAGGCTAACTTACATCTATGTATATTTTTTCCCATTTTGATACCTTTTTGCAGGAAAGACTCATGGTAGGGACCCTGAATTTGGGAAAGTAAAAAAAAAAAAACCTGGTCATTAAATAAATACACTTTTTCCCCCTTCGGATTATTTAGCTTCCTTAACATTATCACACACACATACACACACACAAGAGAGCAGCACCAGTGATCTACTTGTCTGCAGTTTTAAAAAATTAAAGATGCTGTCAAAAGTTGAGTAAGTCAATGAATCATAACATAGTCTTTCTTAGATTTACTTAATAAAGTCAAGTAAAGAAGTCTAGTTAAAAAAACAACAACCACCACCAGCAGTTAATGTAAATAAGCACATAAACAATATCAGTGTAGCAGCAAAACACAGTTATTGTTAACATTCCGATGCACCTCATTTATTATTTTGTGCAAGAAATATGACCACAGTCTGGTCAATTCTAGATCTCAAACTAACTCAAAACTCATACTTAATTGAGCAAAGTATGTGTATTTAAAAATAAATGAATTATTTTCACCTCTCACAGAAATGATTTTTATGAACATAAGTCACGTGGCAAATAAAATACAAAATAAATATCGATGACAAAAAAAGATGGGGATTGACTTCTACAGCTGAATTTGAAGTACAAGGAAAGATGATTTTACAATCTATGTATTTTACATTGTTTTAGGTCTTTCTGATGCTATCGAGGTAAAGCCAGCCATCTGACATACAGGGTTCCTGTTTCCTTTTATTTCTGGTTTTTACTTAACCATGGCCATTTGATTGCAGAAGTCTGTCTGTGACTTAGAGAAACCATCAAATGTTTCATCACACTGGAGTCTGTGCTTTGTGGTATTCTTCTTAACTTTCTCTCATCTTCCGAAATGACGAACACGAATCCAATCCTACCTCTCACGCCCGAGAAGAAAACCCCCGCAGGGCCTCGGGCAGTGTCCTGTGTGTGGTTACAAAGCATTCACCTCAGATATTCGTCCGCGGGAGATGTAGACTAGGGGTAAGGAGGTTTGGACAGACAGTGGAGAGGGGCGCACTGCGGGCCGGAATGTGGCTGCTCGTCGGGGAGAGCTGTGTCAGGACTGAAAACGAGAAACAAGCGTGTCAGCAAGAAACGCACATGCAGGGGGCCAGGCACTTGCAAGGGTTAGAGAGGCACATCCTCTACGCAGAACATTTTAAAACAGAAACAGGAGTTTTGCACAATAAACAGCTTAAATCTAAAGCATGCTAACTAAGATGACTGGAGCTTTTCAAAACAATGCACCAAAAAAAAAAAAAAAAAAAAAAAAAAAAAAAAGAGAGAGAAAAATGCGTTAGGGAAAAGATGAGACATGTAAACTCTTTCCCCAATGTTGCTCTTCAATTTCTGCACACAGTCTCGTCTCCCCTAGGTCTCTGGGTTAGTTGCAAGATTTCTTCAAATCAGTTCTTTTTATACTTTAATGTGCATGCCAATCACCTGGGATCTTGGTAAAATGCAGATTCTGATTTGATAGCTCTGAGGTGGGACCTGAGAATCTTTATTTCTAACAAGCTCTAGGGGAATGCAGACAATGCTTGACCAAGGCTCCGGAGAACTCTACAGTTCTCTGGTAGATCCAGATTCCATAGGTTAAGTCATTTGTCTGTGGAAGCCTAATTTCCTCTAAAGATTCCCACTCCTGGTTGAGCTCAGCACTGTAAATAAGATGGGACAGTTTTAAAACTTTCTACTTGTTGAACATATAATACAGACTTCCAACCACTTCCAAGAGCCTCCAGTTTAAACGAACACATAAATGTTCAGGCTCATCAATGTCTTGATGAATAATCTTGCAGGATAAGGGAGTGAAATCACTGAATTTCCCAAGGCAAAGCTATAAAACACATTTGAGTTCAGACTTTTTCAAAGCGATAACTAATGGAGGGAAACAAACAGTATGGGGAATCGTTTTAATAGAAGAAGATTGGCATTTTTCTAAAACTCTGCTTTTTCCCTCATACATTATGAAATTCAGTACCATAGAATTCATTTCTGTCAGGAATAATATTTGAGAAAACTATTCATGTCTTACCACGATTATGACTATTATTACTTATTTAATCATAGTTTTTAAAGCTAATATTATCATTGAATTCATTAAAAATCACCATTAAAAATACTTTTTATCTTGGGGCAGCTGGGTGGCTTAAGCATTCAACTTTGGCTCGGGTTATGACCTCACGGTCAGTGACTTCGAGCCCTGCATCAGGCTCTCTGCTGACAGCTGGGAGCCTGGAGCCTGTTTCAGATTCTGCATCTCCTTCTCTCTCTGCTCCTCCCCTGCTCATGCTCTGTCTCTCTCTCTCTCCCTCAAAAATAAATGAAAGTTAAAAAAATACTTTTTATCTTTGGTACTGAAATGATCCTTCAAGCACCTCTCTTGAATTGTAATACAAAATTATAATTATGTAAGCTACTGATCTGCTCGAGGTCATCCTTACCTCCCAAACTCTTTGAATTGCTATGAATTTAGTTTCAGGGGAAAGGTGCTCTTCTGTATTGGTTAGAACAACAAGTGATAAAAATTATTTTTCCTGGCCTTTTAAAAAATATGGTAGGTAACCCTGGGAGAGCTGGAGCTTCAACACAAGGACTAAAAAAACAGTGCACAGCAAGAGACTTCTTCCTTCACCCTCCACACAGTCAGATGGCGGAGGAGACACAGCAGCAGACAGACTCTCCCACAGACCTCACAGAGCTTCTTTCTATTAAATATGCTTGATTAAGAACAAGTTTCCTTTTTGGGGAACTAAACACGTTATTCAACATAAGTTGTGGCAAGCAGCATGGGGTAGTCACATTACACAAGATGGGTGTTGAAGGCCCCATGTAGTTCAAATACTCTTCTTGATCAAAGAATACAAGCATTTCTGCTTGCCCAGGTGAGGGGTGCCGCCACAGCTTAACTCCAACTTATAGTTCACTTGGCCTGACATCATGACATTATGCTATCCATGATGATTTCAAAATCTGTTCATTATTTCAGATTTTTTGCATGAAGTGAGGGATCATAGATACTTTATTTTTAAAAATCTTTAAAAATGTTTATTAAACAATTAAAAGAGAAAGAGACAGAGCATGAGCGGGGGAGGAGCAGAGAGAGAGAGAGAGAGAGAGAGAAACATAATCCAATACAGGCCCTAGGCTCTGAGCTCTCAGCATAGAGCCCGATGCAGGGCTAGAACTTGGGAACTGCAAGATCATGACCTAGCTGAAGTCGGAGGCTCAACCAACTGAGCCACCCAGGTGCCCCCATAAATACTTTATACTACACTATGGCTATTTTAAATTTCCATAAAAATGCAATCACACAGGGGCGTCCGGGTGGCTCAGTAGGTTAAGTGTCCAACTTTGGCATAAATATCACAGTTTATAAGTCAGTCCCGCATCGGGCCGTGTGCTGACAGCTCAAAGCATGGAGCCTGTTTCAGATTCTGTGTCTCCTTCTCTGTCTCTCTCTCTCTCTGCCTCTCCCTGGTTCTCACTATCTCTCTCTCAAAATTAAATAAATATTTTTAAAAAATTTTAAATGCAATCACACATATATTATATGACAGAAACATCTTCTTGGCTTACAAGTTAAGAAATTATTTCTTAGATGTAAATATTAGAGAAGTTCTAATTATTTAAGGTACAGGATATATTCAGTTCTGACTGCTAAACACCTTCAGAAGCCTACCTTTTATTCAACCTTTACCATTTAAGAACCTACTTTTTGTAGGTAGATCATTTTGTAAGCCATCGGCCTAGGAAACTATTACTAAGATCTAAAATTGGGTATTTCTTCAGAAAGTTTCTTTTTTTGTCCAAGTAAGCAACTACTTGACAGAAGGGGAGAAGTGTTCAATAAGAAACATCTCCATATATTTAAATATTACATCCAAGGCTGCAAACCTTGGACCCTCTGTCCATATTATGATATCTATTATCTATAAACAGTTTTAATAGCTTAGCTTTATAATGGAATCAGTCTGTAAAAAGCATAGATGAAAAATATGAGGAAAATGCTCATGTATTCAAAACCACAACCTAAAAAGTTATTTGAACACATATGTAAGCTGAAGGAAGTATAAGACAATTTTTATTGTGAGAAGCAGAGGTAGAGAGCACTGATGTATAGTTACTCAACATTGTTAGCATGTTTTATTTCTCATGTTTCTCATTAAATGAACATTCTTTTTCAATTTAGGGATAAAGCATCAACATGGGTGACTTAAATTCTCTCTATGCTTGTCACAGCATAAAATCGGTGAGTATCTGATTTTATCAACTGAAGCACAGTGGTGTACTCTGGTGGTTAGGACCATGGGTGCTAGGCTCGTTGGGCTCAACTGCTTCCAGGATGGGTGACCCCAGAGAAGTCATGTTACCTTCTCCTCCTCAGTTTCTTGGTTTAAAAATGGGTGTGATAACTGTGCCTACCTTCTGGGGGTTGTAATGAATAAAAACTGTAAAGAATTGAACACATGTCATGTACACGGTAAGAATTCAAACACTGGCTGTTAACTTTTCTGCCATGAAGAAGTGAAAAGAGGAGTGGGGGCATTAAATTCGGTCCACCTGGCAGCAGGTTTGGGTGGAAAGGAAGCCAATCATAATCCCAGTGACTTGGGGTTTTTTTATTTGTTTTATTTTTAAAAATTTTTTAATGTTTATTTATTTTTGATTGAATGAGAGAGAGAGCAGGAACGAGCCAGTGAGAGAGAGAGGGAGACACAGAATCCAAAGCAGGCTCCAGGCTCTGAGCTGTCAGCACAGAGCCTGACGTGGGGCTCAAACTCACAAACTGTGAGATCGTGAGCTGAGCCGAAGTCAGATGCTTAACTGACTGAGCCACCCAGGCGCCCCCTCCCCCCCCCAATGACTTGGAAAAGGACAGTTTTTTTCAGGTCTGTATGTACTTTATCATTTCCCTGTGTGGACCACAAGAAGGGCAATGGAAGCTTATGCACATGACTAAAAACTGGAAACATATGTAATTCATTCAACTGCTTTCCTTTACAGGAAATAATCCCTGTGCAGGTGTACCAAACAACCTAAATTCTGTATCAGTATCTCAGGAGATACAGAACTAGGGCAGGTAACCATCTAGTCAAACTGGCTCCTAAAAAAGAAAAGGAAAGTGAAATAAAATTCAAATTAAAAAATTTCCTCGCTAGCCTTTCCATTCCTTACCTATTTGAAACACTTAAAGAAGTAGGCTTCTCCTATGTAGGAGACGAATCACTATATTCTACTCCTGAAATCATTATTGCATTATATGCTCACTAACTTGGACGTAAATTAAAACAAAAACAAAAAAGCAAAAACAGAAAAAGAAGTTAGCTTCTCGACACTTTCCCCAAGCAAATTAGAGAAGTCGTGAAAGAGACCACAGACCTTTTGTTTGCTTTGAGGAACAGTTAGGTACTGAGAATGGTTAGTAGTAGTAACAGATATCGAGTGCACATTATGCAGCAGGCCTGTGTCTCACAGAATCCCTCAAAACTATTCTCTTCCTTACTTTACAGTGAAGAAACAAAACAAACAAACAAACAGACAGACACACACAGAAGCAGAGTCAGCAAAAGCAACTTTCCACAATTACACAACTAGCAGGTGGTAGGGGTGGGAATTAAACTCAAAGGATCTGCCTCAGGAGTTCATTCACTCATTCCTATCGTCCCCACGTGCTGAACGGCAGTGGAGCGCCTGGCGCGGTCACAGGCCCTGGGTGGCTGGGGATGCTCGGTGGAGAATGGACTGTGGGTTGAGACCCCTTCACCACTCCACATAGAGTCCCGCTAGGTTGGGTGTGAACATTTATAATTATGTTCAGTTACTTACACAAATAAAGCGACCCTACATTTGGCTGCTGTAATAAAATGGCATTCCTATGTCAGCAAAGAATGTTCCTGAAGTAAAAACCCTGTTGCTGGAATCCTGTTAGCAGACTAGACACCTATCAGGGGCCTATTTAATTGTGTACCTTTTCCCGCTAACTCCGCGGCTCACTTCTCCAGCTGGCTGGACAACCACCTGGGGACCAAGTCACATGGGGGCTTCGGCTGCCGCTGTGTTTCTGGGGAGCATTTGCGGCTCCCCATTTCTCGGCTGTGCCCCACGGTCACGTGCAGCCGGCTACTGCTATCTATTCTGACATGCGTAGAAACAGAATGAGATCTGCCCCTGCTCAAAACCAGCCTTGTCTTGGTAGGAGAGCAATGCACAAATTAAAATCTGGAAAGAACGGTAAGTAGACTACAACCCGCACCAGACTATAAAAACTTGGCACCATCAGAGGCCAAATAACTGGAGATGAAGCACTCCACAAAAATGTGAGGTCCTGAGGAGGGCGTTCTGATGCCGAGTGGGAGTGCACCCACATGGAGGTAAATTCATGATGGACTTGTAAAGCTTTCCTCGGAACAGAGGTTGTCAGCAAACTCTCCAATTTAGTGTCCAGGGAGTACTTGTAAAGCTGCCTTTAAAATTCTTCAGTTAATCTCACATAAAGGGCACTGTCACTGCAAATATTCTCTTTAAAAGCCAACATAAGTTTTTCTCCACCTTTCAAATTCAGTTTTAATGAGGATAGTGAGTGGAGACAAAAGAAGCATTTTCATAAAGTTGTCTTGCAAGAGACATGAGATTTGCCTTCTATTCTTCCTGCTTCTTTGCCTGAGAAATATATTCTGAGGACGGAAGACAAGCAAAAGAAAAAGTAGGACAAACACCCGAACAATTCCGGGTTTTGTGTTTGGGAAGGTAAGGGACCGCTGGACTAATCCAAGCATTTACTCACACACGGGAGCTGAAGGCAGCCCTTAGTCTACCCACTGGCAGCCAGTAAAATAAGCTCTAGCTCTCTTGTGTTTCCACCGGGCACTTCAGGTATCCAGTGTACGTTAGGGTAGCCCATATTTGCGATACAATGTAGCAAATATAATTACGGATAGGAAGTTACGGTGTTAGAAAGGAGAGCTTGGGATCCATGGATCTGACATGCAGCTGGGTGAGAAGAGAAATGACGTCCAAATTTACCTGACAGTTGGGCAGTCTTGCCTCCCGGCTAGTTGTGAGCACTGTGGCGGTACGGAGGCAGCAGGCTGCTGACAATCTACAAGAAACTGATAAATTAGACATGTATACAAAGAGATGACGGAGCATCGTGTTAGTAACAGTAACTGAAGCAGTTGCCTGAGAGATTTAGTGAGGAATGTGCATTCACATTGAAACATCTGGATTAAGCTTTGTTCCCCCCTGAATGATGCCAATAGAAAACACAAGATGTTTTTCTTAATTAAGTCTAGAATTGGAAAATTAGTGACACAAAATTAGTAGTGAGATTTCTCAAGTACTTTTGAACATATGTGGCCATTCGCACTTGGTATCTGGATACATCTAAAAAAAGGGGCCTATTAATATAATGAAAGATCTTCAAGTTCTGAACTTGATGGTAGTTACAGGGTTAGCACTTAGATCTGCTTTTCCAAAATGGGATATATTCAGATAACTGCCTTTAAGTCAGGACACGTGGGCATATTGTCAATCTCATAGGTACACTGAGAAAAGCATGCAATACAATATTTTCCATGATTATGAGATATCAGAGAAAGGAGTCATCTTCACAGTTTCCCAATAATATTATGAATCAAAAGCAAGAATTGCTACCGGAAATATTAGAATGTTTATTATATAGCTAATTGTTAGTAACTTGGACTGATGGAGAAAGCTAACACGGATGGGAAAATCGCTTTTGTTATATTTTTGCCATTTTACAGTCACATAATATTCCTCACACTAGGTTGGCAGAAGGCTAGCTAGTAAAACTTCATGTTTTAGCTGATCAGTTACATTAATCATCTACTCCAAGAAAGACTGTGTACTGGGTGTTCTAAAATAATCAGGAACAGTCTGTTTATTGGTACCAGACTGACTGCCACCTGAGAGGCTAGCTAGAAATGTCTATGTCATATTTCCGCAAAAAGATTTTGCAAAAAAGTTAAAATTAGACTTCAAAATTCAATTATTCTCAAATAATTGCAGCGGGTCCTTTTGCTAACTGCTTAGACCATGGATTTGCTTAGCAAACCTCTTTCCTTTTGTGCTATATAGCTAATACTTAAGCCAAATTATAAAATCATATTTATAGCCTTGAATTATTGAGGCTTTCCTGAAATTTCTATTCACAGGCCTATATCTTTAAGTATCACTTATTCCAAAGCCAGGGTATTCTCAATACAGCAAAACCTGCTTATATAATTCCAGAATACCAAAATTTGTGAACACTGCTGACGCTTTTGCTTACGACACTGAAAACACACTAAAGCTATCTGTGATGCTGATTTGAGTTCATTCAAAAAACATCATTACTGAAGGGAGCCTTTCATAGGTGGTCTTTGTTGCAGAGTAGCTTATTAATTATTACTTATTAATAAGAATGAGATCTGATTCTCACTGAGTAGCTAGTGTTCAGATTATCATAGTAAAAGTCCTTCAAATGTGACAAATATTTCCTTTTTCTCCACTTTGGAAAATTATTTTTTCTTTCCTTTAACTCTGTCTTCTCATCTTGCAGCTTGTTAGCTCAACGATTCCCTTTTGTAGAAACTCAGAGTCTTAAAGGATGAATTCTTTCATGCTCCTTTTATCTTTTCCAACAGCTTTCTGATCTAAGTGATAATTTAGGGATGTCTTGGACTAATTCCAATAATGATTTTGATACAGTCTGTAGACATGCAGTTTTAAGTTAACCAGGAGAGTGCTGCCCTCCTATGGTCTATTAGGGTAAGCACAAGGGATGGAAATGAAAATGAACACTTGGAAAAAAAACACTCTGGAATTTGGCCACATGTCTTCTATTTCCAGGGAGGTAAAGCTCTTCTATAGAAAAATTTTGGCCTCTATGGAATGACAAGCCTTAGAATTAATTTGAGTATTTACAGAGTCTAATTTTTCCCATATCTCCCTACATTAGAAATTTTTTTTGCTAAGGTAATTACAAATTATTATTCATTAGAAATATGCTCTGTGATGGAATTTAGCAAGTAGATGAGCAGGACCACAGTGTAGTCCCTTAATGAATTGTTTAATAAGTGGTAGATATTCCTTACATTTGTCGTATCAGTTTTTTCTCCTTTGGAAGTAACATTGCCTCTAGGCTTATTATCATTACTATTTTGCACTTGTTATTTAAGTGTTGTTCTTAAAGGTTAAAAAGCAAATTCCACAAATAAGATGGTGATAGATGGAAAAATAAAATTTGAAAAGTAGCCATATTGCTCTGACTCAACTGTCTTCTAAAACTCTCTTCTCGGGGTGCCTAGGTGGTTCAATTGGTTAAGTGTCTGACTTTGGCTCAAGTCATGATCTCATGGCTCATGGGTTTGAGCTCCGCATTGGGCTTTGTGCTAACAGCTCAGAGCCTAGAGCCTGTTTCTGATTCTGTCTCCTTGTCTCTCTACCCCTCTTCCACTTGTGCACTCTCTCTTTCTCTCTCAAATATAAATAAACATTAAAAAAAGTTTTTTTAAACTCTCTTCTCAGGTAGCTAGCCCTCCAGTTACATATACATCTAACCCAGATGAACAATGGGATGTGAATTAGCCTGTACTTTGGAAAATGAAAGGGGTGGGTTGGGGAATGGGAAAATCTCTCCTAGCTCTGAGCTGCTGTGGGCTCCACATGATCTCACCTGCTCTTTCTAGGATCTACTGTGGGGTAGACTCACTCCTGAAGGAGTGAGGCCTGATCTCTTCTGAGGGCATAAAAGATGACAATTACGTGACTCGTGTAGGATATATTAAAGAGCCCCAGCAGCCATTACTGTCATCTGAGCCACCAGAACTCATCCCAACTGTTCAACAATCAAGTTACTAAACTCCTAGTATGTGTTCAAAACTGTTAGGCATTGGGAACAAAAGGAACACAGGAAAGATATGGTCCCTGGCCAACTGGGTAAAACAAGCATATTCAACCAGCAATTACAATAAAGTGTCATGATGATGGTGATGATGGTGATGGTGACGATGACAACGATGATGATGATGACAACAGCACCTAGCACTTATTTATTGCTTACCATGTACCAGGCACTGTGTAGGCACTTAACATGAATGCTCTCCTGTAACCCTGTCTTATTAATCACAGTTGATGGATGAGGAAAGGGAGACTTAGGTTAAGTAACTAGCCAAAGTCCACCCAGAGGTGGAGCTGGATTTGAATCCAGGATTGTATAAGCCAAAGGCTGCATTGAATTTACACACAAATCAGTGCACTGCTTTCTAGAATAGGGAAATGTGGGGATCTCAGAGCAGAAATACTTAATTAAATCTACGTGGTCAGGGAATGCTTCCTGAAGGTTGTAACATCTAGTCTGATGCCTAAAAAGAGGAGTTGGCCAAAGAATGTCTTGGCAACTATAAGTGGTTTATGATCTCTACTAATAGCAATAAAATCTTTCATCATAAAATTATAGTATTTGAAATGCTCAGAACTGAACTAGATAACACTGTACATTCATAAGGTTACAGGCCTGAGAAATGTCACAGCATATTCGAGAGATTGTTAGTGCTTCAAGGGCAGATGAATAAGGGATAATATAGCTTAAAGCACTGACAGGTCTCTACTGGTGTACACATGAAGACTACCCTTATCTGACATTCCTCCATAAACAAAAGCTGACTAGAAAGGAAGTTTAAAAAGAAAAGGGAAGAAGAAAGAAGGAAGGAAATTATTTGCTGAATCAACACGATGTAATCTCTCTTAGGAACTTTATACTAGTTATCTGTTTTAAGTCTTAGCAACACTCTGAAGGTATTGTTTTCACTATTCCTACCATAAGAAAACGAGTATTTTTGATATATGAGACAATATCAGAATCTCATATACCTGAGGCTATTTTTTTCCTTTCACATTTTTCACGGCACTAGCAACAAATACAGAACAACAAATCATAGTAGGTGTTCCGCAAACATTTCCTGACTAACTTAATATACGATCACCATATATATTAACTTGCTCACAGTCACAAAGCTAGAAAGTGGTGGAGCAAGTATCTAAAACAGTACGACTTTCCTGGTGATGAAGCCTATTTTCTACTCACTACTCTGATTGTCTCTCAAATTAACAGTAGCTGCCTCTAGAAAATATCAGGGTCATAGAGTCAAAAAAAAAAAACATAAATAAGAACTTCACCAGGGGCACCTGGGTGGCTCAGTTGGTTAGCCGGCCAACTTTGGCTCAGATCATGATCTCATGGTTTATGAGTTTGAGCCCCGCGTTGTGCTTTGTGCTGACAGCTTGGAGCCTGGAGCCTGCTTTGGATTCTTTGTCTCCTTCTCTCTCTGCCCCTCCCCTGCTTGCATTCTGTCTGTCTGTCTCTCTCTCAAAAATAAATAAACATTTTAAAAAAGTTAAAAAAATAAGAACTTCACCAGATAGTTGACATAGTAATTTGAAGGCAACCAATTACCTCAAAAACACAAAGCAAGATGAAGGGTGAAAGAATGGTGATAATATGCAATTTCTATAAATGAATGAACAGGAAGAGACGTCTGGTCATAGGCTTCAATTACTTTTAAACTTCCTAGTGCAATTTAGAAAATTAACCAATTTCTTAAAAAGCCAGTGCCTTAGAAAGTCCCATGAGTCCACTGGTGGCTGTTTGGGGAGGGAGGGAGAGCCACATGTGGAAGGTGGCAGGGAGCACCTCTGTGTTTTGGCTCAGCTGGCAGTGGTGAGAGTGGGCGGGGACCCTGCAGATGCAAGCTGATCTGGAGACCACAACTGGTAGTGGTGCAGCAGTATGGACAGCTTTCTTGGTGCCCAGATGCTCTGCGGGATGGCAGCGCACCACCTCTCTGTGGCACACGGTCTCCTCCAGAGTGGCCAGCCTCCCCAGCCCCTGGGGTTCCAGACCTGAGAACTGATGCATCCCTACCGTTTCATGAGGTCTTATTTTCCATACTTTATCTCCTTCCCTCATGACCACGAACTCTGCCAGGCGCTACACATTTTCCTATGAAGATTCTCTGTCCCCTGAGTTTTCCTCAGGCCAAGTAATGACATTCTTCTTCACAGGACTCAATTTCAACTTCCCTCACTTGCCTCCTTGCT